GTTTGGGGTGGTTTGGGGGTGAGGGGGGAGGGTTGGGGGTTAATTAGGAAAAGCCAAAAAAAAAAAGAACCGAGGCCCGGCCCGGCCCGGACCCGGGGTTACCCTGGCCGGTTCCAGGCCTCCCTTTTCATGAACCGAGGCCCGGCCGGGCCCAGGCCTGAACCGGAACCGGTCCACCCCTAATATGGGATGGGATGTCAGATTACCGGGTATGTTAGATTAATGATAATGTATTGAATTTCTATCTCATTTGTGTTTGGTTAAGATTAAGGGAATGTGACATTATCTTATTTGGTTGAATTATATTTTTATATGGCATACTTGGTGAATTATTTCAATGCCCTTCAAATATTTTCTATTATCACAATAAACTTATTACAATCTGCATTTAAAGTGATTATCTCAATAATAAATAAATTCAAAACTTATTTAATAATTTTAAAGAAAAATGTGTTTAAATGCAAGAATGACAATGATTAGTGAACATTAGTAAATCTTTATGAAGAAAGTTTAGAAGAAGAACGATACAACGTTAGAAGAAAGAATGAAGAAAGCAGATTTCTTTATTTTCCCATACAAGGCTTAGTGCAAAGTTCAGTGGCGAGGTTTTTTTTTTTGAAGAAGTGGTTGCCCAAGAGATCATATGATACTTCTTCTAATTTAATGAGCATGAGTATTTTTAGAAGAAAAATATAACTAAGAGGAAATGTAGGATAACCTAAGAGAGGGTTGAGTTTGACATTACCATCCATCTCATTGCTTTATTCTCTATTAAGGAATGCAACATTCTCGAAAAAAGTTTAAGCACGCGAACCAAACGCGGAAATCTCTTATTCTGAACATCAGATTCTGACCTACATGAAGGATTACCTCAAACCAAACGTACCCATTTAATTTAGACTATTCATTCACTACGTAATTTAGTATAGTTTTGATTAATAGATAAGTTTCTTATTTAAAAAGGTCCATTTAGGAATTGGGACAACCCATGTTTTAATCATGTGGTAATTACCCGGATGAGTCATTTTTACAAGCTACGTATCATTTATGTCACCATATTATAATTTATTCATCTATGAACTTTCATCTTTTCAATTTACTTTCTTTTATTTCAAAAATAGTCTATTCATTCACCGAAACCTGCTTCCGCTCTCGTCTCCCTTCTCAGTTCTCATCTAGCTAAATACGAAGTACAACACAAATGTCAATATGTGCGATGCGGAACATTTATGCTTCATCTTCACTCATGATTTCGATGGCAAATCCGCATAGAGCACATGCATCCAAAAGTCGAAGCTCATAGATTCAAGCTAATTGATTCCGCGATCTGAACGATTTTTTCATTCTCGTGATTTAGCTGATATCATGATTCAGTCGTGTTCACCGATTTTATCGATTATGATAGGTGCGTTTAATTTTTATCATATAAGATTTTGAATCTGCATTTGAACCTGTGCTGCTTTTGAATTTGACGTATCACATATATGACTTCTCTTCACGGAAAATCAATCTTCTTTTTTAGATGATAGATTGTTGTAACTTGTTCTCCTTTGGAGATGATGGATTGCCATGTGTCCTCTTCATTCTTCTACTTTTTGTTTCAGATAAGTGATTACATTCATTTTTTGTTTCTTAGTTTAATAAAAAAATAAATATTCATCATCAATTACTAGTAAGATTTTTCTCTTGCCAGGGAAGCGGAAGGCGAGGTATTGTGGTATTTGATCACTTGTAGCTGCCCTTTTTTATTAAAAGGATATAATATTATGGAGCAATCAAGCTTTTGTCAGGTAATAATTCTTCTATTGCTACTCTATTCTTCTAACTTTGTGCGCCTAAAGAGAAAGCTTTACAAAATGCAATTATGTGTGCGCGAAGAGAGCTCATTGGGTGAGTAATGATATCATATCCCTTCGTCGCCTGCATTTTCTTATGTTTTTCTTTGTGTTTTCATCTTTCATCGTCTCAAAATGACACTCTGGAATCTAGATGATGGGTCACAAGTGGGGGAATGAGAGTGAAAAATTAATGTGAGCAGCTTTTTAGAATTTCGAAGGACCCTTTCGGATTGAGAATGTTTGTAACCATTTTGTGTTTTAATATATTCTCAATTAAAGTCTCCATGGTGAGGTGCTTATTTTAATTACACTTTTTTGGTATTGAAGAATAGTGCATAACTACTAAAAGAAATGAATTTATATTTTGGCACATCTTAATCAATGTAACTATGTTAATACAAGGATAAAAATGGTTTCTGTAATGGAATAGAAAACTTTCCCTTTCCTTCAAAAAAATCGACATATAGTTAGCCATTTAAGTCAAATAACCGTCACCAAACAGGTCTTGGGTTACTATGAATTTTCCTATTAAAATGATGATCTTTTTCATTTCCTTGAAGTAGCTTTCTTGAATTATTCGTTTACTTTGATTCGTTGTGCATCATGCAACACCTGTAATTTGCTTTACTTTCAATAAAAATCAGAAGTTTTTGTTTGATGCAGGGCTTGGAAACTTTCCCTAGCTGCCGCTAACAACCCTAGAGATATTGTTTCTAGATTTAATGGCAATGGGATGGAGGGAAAATATTATTATTGATGGACATCATGAGTTTTTTGCACTTTAATATACATAGTAGCTAATATTGTATCGTGAATGTGAAAACTGAAAAGTAAGTTGAAGGATGTATTCACTAAACATATGTAACTGTTGTAATTATATTCTCTTGACTTCACTGTATGGTGTTGTTTTTTGTTAAATCAAGTTGTTTTTTGTAATATTGTGTTGTTTTTTATTTCATCGTGTTGCTCTTTATTTTGTTTTTTTTGTTTCGTCTTGTTGCTCTGTATTTTGTTTCTTTTTGTTTCATCATGTTGCTCTTTATTTTGTTTCTTTTTGTTTCATCCCGTTGCTCTTTATTTTGTTTCTTTTTGTTTCATCCTGTTGATCTTTATTTTAATTCTTTTTGTTTCATCGTATTGTTCTTTGTTTCTTAGTGTTACTTTTTGTTGTATTGTGTTACTCTTTGTTGTACCATGCATTCATGTTATTTTTGTTTTTTATTATCTATTTAATAGTTCGTTGTTATTTTTTATTTGGATTTCTATTTTTTACTACTTTAGAATAAAAAAAGCAATATATTTATATCTCTATCTCTACATCTCTATAAGCATGAATAATGTTAGGGATATAATGGGAATGTAAAAAATGTTGGTGTCTCTTTAGGCATTAAGAACTTGTACTTCATGCATAGTTTTTTCTAATCTAAAATGGTATTCCGGAAGTTAACTTACTTAAGTTTAAACACCAAGAGCACCATATTCTAACATCAACTTACTTCCGTTTCTCACCCTTTGGTTTCTAATGACCCCCCATTATCTTTTTTGTTTTAACTTTTAAGATTTGCCTTGCCCATGTTTATTATTTATTTTCTCCTGGTAGACAAAAGGGCAACAAAGCAATTTAAAAAAAGCAGCCAAATTAAAAGGACAAATATAATTTGTTGGTGTTGAAACTATCCTACAACGTAGTTTGCTTTTATTAAGCCTAAAAGCATATGTGATCATTATAAACATAATACTATCGTACTATTGTACTTTAGTATGTAGTTTTATTAAAATATACTTCCTACTTCCTTTAAGTTTTGTCAACTTTCTTTTTTGACTATCCCACTAACTTTGCCACTATCCGATTTTTACTATTTAGAATCATTTATTCCTAAATTCATTTGATAATAATATAGTTTTTCTTAACATCATAAGATAATATGTTTCAAATGATCTTGGGCATTTACACGAACGCGCATGACGCGTTTATAAACTAGTGTATATATAATAGTATTTTTAGGTTGACGAAAATTAACAACAAAAAACATGAATAAAAAACAAAAATATCAAATTTATGAATAAAAAGAAACATAATGAAACAATATGCAACAAAAATAAAAAATAATATGCCTTGGTGATAATTATTATATTTGTAGCTAAAAATATCAAATCAAAAAATTCACATTATTTATTTTTTTTACAAATTTTCCACTTTTTATTAATTTTAATTTTTCGCATTTTCATTTTCAAGAATTTAAATTTTATTCTATGCGAATTTACACAATTTTAGTGTTTTTTTGTGCGTTTTTATATTTTTTGTCAAATAGATTTTTTTATTGTGTAATTGTTAATGTATCTTTTTTGAAACTTTAGGTATATATTGTCACTTTAAGACTTTTCTAAATTTATTTTAAATCTTTTTAATCTTTTAAAATAATTTAAAAAATTTGTGTGTCTAATTACTTTTTATATAATTTATTTAAATTATTATTTTATAGAATTTTAATGATTTAGAATTTTAAAGTTCAGTGTTATTGTTTTCAATTTTCTAGATTTTTTTTTAATTTTTTGAGGGTTTATATTTTTTTTATATAGTACGGAGTGTATGGACATTTAAAAATTTAATTGTTGTATCGTTAGAAACTTAGAATTACTTTTTTTTACTTTGTAAACTTACTTTACGGTATTTCATCATCAAATTTTTATATACTTCTTTTCGTTAATATGAGTATTTTTTTTTACTTTTTAACTAAATTTGTCGTTTTTGACTTTTATTGCTTTCTATTTATTATCATTTTTTTTGAATTTTTTTGAATTTTAACATTTTTATGTTAATTTTAACATTTACTATGATTTTTTTTACTTCCGATCCCTTCACTTGAGAATCTAAAACCATGGATAGATACAATACCAACGTGTTGACAAGAGCAGAGCTTCAATTCCCGTAGATGGGGTTTTTTATATACTAGCAAGTAGTGTATTTGTGAAAGGAAAAACTGGGTGAGTCTATTTTTGAAAACAATTCTATTTTTGAAAATTCCCCTTTAATCAATCACCTGGACCTGGGTATTCAGCCGTAGAACTCAGGCCCAAAAATATAGCCTGTACCATTATTGTATGCATAGCGACCATGTTATAATTTAAAGCCCAAGAACAATTAAAAATGGCCAAGGGTTTGACCTTCTATTCCCCCTATACGGACTTCGTCATCCATTCGATAGTCCGCTCAAAAAATTGGAGCAGGGGGTCTAAAGAGACATGGGAAAGAAGCGAAAGCAGGTGGATGCCACCGTCGCCGCCGATATTGAGCCGGTGACTGAGAAAAGACCTAAAAGAACTCTTTTGGGATGGAAAGAGGGAGGTGTACAGAAGAAAGAAAGCAATTCTGTAGGTGTTTTCAGAAATAAAGAGAAGGTTTTGGTCACCTCTTCTCGACGTATCAGCTACAGGTTAAAGTTAACTCTTTTGTTTGTGTTTATAATTGGGTGTCTTCTATAATTTCATATTTTAATGTTATTTAGTTTGGTTCACTTCAATATTATGGGTTTTCAGGTATCGGCATCTGATGTTGAATTTGGTGTCACTCTTGCCTCATTGTAAGAAAGACAATAAAGTGGAGTCAAAGAACAGTAAAGGTGCGACCTTGAACGAGCTGGTTGAGCTAAAGAACTGTTCATCTTGTTTGTTTTTTGAGGTATTTGTTGCCACGTTTCTTGTCTTAATGTGTAACTTATCTTTTAAAAGCATCCAGACATCCAGTTGGTTTTATCATATGCCTATTTAAATATATATTTTCACTTTCTTGTCTTAGTCTTTCATTACTTTAATTCTCAAAACAGCGTTTGAATTTCAATTTCTATGCCTTGCCTAATATTATGGCAATGGGTCATATGTCGGTGTATCTATATAAGTATATGCATTATATATGTATATCATATATGTATGTCAGTATACAGGCATATATCATATATGTATGTATGTTTGGATGCATGAATATGTGCATATAGGAAATGGTTCAGATATTAAATAAAAAATGCGCAAGTTGAAAAAATTGTGCAGCTTTAATTAAGTGCAGTTAAACTTTCAGCATCAGAAAGTGCATGTTTACTTTGACCATGGAAGAAGTTGCACTTTTTTTGCAATTCTGCCCCGCGTTCTTTCATTTATTTTTCCTAATTTTCTGAGACCTTCAATATATACTCTAATGTACCTTATTCATTTTCATGTTAAGAGCACTTTTTAATGACCCCCCACATGCCTAAAGTGTTTCCCATTCTCCATTTTCTCAGTGTCGGAAAGGAAAAGACCTTTATTTGTGGATGTCCAAGTGCCCTAACGGCCCGTCCGTGAAGTTTCTAGTAAATGCAGGTAATAATGTGCCATAGATCAATGTTACTTTTCCTGTTTTCATCTAGTTTTCATAAAAAGAACACAGTTTGTGGACATTTTGAAATGAAAACCATCCCTCATCATGCCTCTATTATGAATTGGTATATATATTATGCAGTGCACACGATGGAAGAGTTGAAGCTTACTGGTAATCATTTGAAAGCCTCACGGCCTATCCTAACATTCTCAAGCAATTTCGATAAGCATCCACATTGGGTGCTTTTGAAAGAAATGCTAACCCAGGTATTTTCAGTTTTCACTTGAACTAAAGTTGTTTATGACGATCGTCAAACTCACACAGAAACTTCTTTTGATGAATCAGATTCTAGTTCTCATTAACTGTATCTGCTTTGAATTCTAATCAAATACTCAGTATATATAAATGAAAAATTCTTCTTGTAGATTATAAATAGAAGTAGTTGTAGTACAATAAAACCTCCAGTTTATTGTTAAACCACAGATTTTCGCTGCTTCCATGTCTTACTTAAAACCTCCAGTTGTAAGTATTGTCATGACTCATGATTGAAAAATGTTTCCACTTATGTCATTGGTACTGCCATATTAATGCATGTCAATGCCAAAATATAGCAGTATGATTTCAGGATGACAATAATTTACTCATGTTTTGGGAAAAACATAATAGTCCTGTTCTTGAATTTGACATCATTTTTACCGTATTTATACACTCCCGTCCCAAATTAATGTGAAAATTACGGTATTTTAGGGTTAATCTCTCCGTACTTATATTTCAGTTAGTGCTAATAATTAACATTCATTTAATTAGAGACTGCACTAGATGTTCTATTCAAATGCAAAAATCGATTTCGAATTTAATAGAAAACTGATACCCCAAATTTGAGAATAAAAAATAAATGCATTTCACCAATGAATAGTAACCTTACGACTCAGTTTGAAATGTTTCAGTATTTAAAAAACTAGAATAAGGATAAGATACCTCTTATAAGTGTGAGTAGTTTATGAAGAGGTGAATGGTATTCTGTAAGATATTTGAAAAAATAAGATTTTTATGCTGTAGAGAAGTCTTATCTCTTTTTGTTTTCTTTTTATTACCAGATTTTTGGAACACCCAAGGATCACAGGAAATCTAAGCCCTATCATGATCACATATTTGTTTTCTCTATTGTTGATGACCACATTTGGTTCCGAAATTACCAGGTTCTTAAATTCTCATTTACCTAGTTTTCTTGTTTTTAATTCTTCTATGCTTTTGATCTTGTGAAACCTGCTACAAGTGTGCTTATACATATTGAATCCTGCTTTTGATCTCTATTGTCTCAGTCTTGTACCAAATGAATGTTGTGTTAGGGTTAGTATCTCTAGCTCTCACACACGGATCTGAACAATAGTAGAAAGAAAAATAAAAACAAGAAGAACGGCAAACGAATTTAACGTGGTTCAGCCAGTAAGTGTTACTGACCTAATCCACGGGGGTAACTAAGGTTTTCTTTCTTATTGAGGTGATGAAAATACAGTACAGTCGTTTACAAGTACAGGAGGCAGTATATATAGGCAAACAATTAGGGTAAACTTTTAATTAAACTCTGGGCTTGATTGCCACCCCAAAAACAGGCCCAACTATGACTGGCTGCACATCTAGCTACAGCTAGCTGCACTTCTAGCTGCTGCTCACTGCTTATTTGGCTCCCAGATCTAAATGGGCCAAAGCCTACACCCCAACAATCTCCCACTTGGAGGCTTCGAAACATGATCAGCTGCACTCCACTTCACTCCTTTGTACTTCTGTAAATACCATACCTTCTCAAGCTCCACCTAGTTGCCCCACCCTTCTCAACACTATTCTTGAAGGCCGGTTGAAGCCATGCAAAGCTTCAACTTCTCAGTTGTCACCACCTTAGTAAACATATCAGCAGGATTCTTTGTACCAAGAATCTTCGTCAGTAACAACCCTCCATCATTTATCAACTTCCTGATAAAATGATACTTCATCTTGATATGCTTAGTTCTACTGTGAAACACCGGATTCTTTGCGAGATGAATCGCACTCTGGTTGTCACAATACAAAACACTATCTTTTTGTTCAAAGCCCAACTCCGACAGGAAGTTCTTCAGCCATATAAGCTCTTTGCTTGCTTCTGCAATTGCCATATATTCTGCCTCGGTGGTTGAGAGAGCAACACAACTCTGAAGCCTGGACATCCAACTAATAGCAGTTCCTCCCATTGTGAACACATAACCAGTAGTGCTCTTACCAGAATCTTGACAACCACCCAAATCTGCATCGGTGAAGCTCTCTAAGACAAGATCTTTCTTGCTGAAACATAATGATGTCTCAGATGTGCCCTTCAAGTAGCGTAGTAACCACTTGGCTGCTTCCCAATGCTCCCTTCCCAGATTTGACATAAATCTGCTAACCACTCCCACTGCATGAGCAATGTCTGGTCTTGTTCAGACCATAACATACATCAAACTGCCAACTGCTGATGCATAAGGAACCTTTTCCATTTCTTCCTTGTCTTTATCCGTTTTAGGTGATTGCTTCTTGGTAAGTGTAAAATGACTTCCCAAGGGTGTACTTCTGGCTTTAGTATCTTTCAGATTGAACTTCTCTAGCACCTTCCCAATGTATTTTTCTTGAGATAACTTCAAGGTGCCTTCTGCTCTATCTCTAGTGATGCTCATGCCAAGAATCTGCTTAGCAGCTCCCAAGCCTTTCATCTCAAATTCTTGAGATAATTGTTTCTTCAGCTTGTTGATTTCTCTCATGTCATGTCCTACAATTAACATGTCATCAACATATAACAACAATATGATGTAGGAGGATTTGAATTTCTTCAAGTAGCAGCAGTGATCCATAAGACATTTCGTATATCCACTCCTTTTCATAAAGTTGTCAAACTTCATGTACCACTGTCTTGGTGCTTCAACCTGTAGAGACTTTTCTTCGGTTTGCAAACCAAGTTTTCTTTCCCTGCTATCTGAAAATCCTCTGGTTGCATCATGTAAATATCTTCATCAAGATCTCCATGTAAGAAAGCTGTCTTGACATCCAGCTGCTCTAGATGCAAGTCTTCGGCGGCCACAATACTCAAGACTGATCTGATTGTGGTCATCTTCACGACTGGGGAGAAGATCTCAATATAATCCACTCCTTTCTTCTGTTGGAAACCTTTGACAACCAATCGAGCCTTGTACCTCTTGTTGACGTCGATCTCATCTTTGATCCCGAATACCCATTTATTCTGCAAAGCTTTCTTTCCTGCAGATAATCTGACCAATCTCCAAGTCTGGTTCTTTTTAAGTGAGCTCATTTCTTCATTCATAGCTTGCTCCCACTGTACGGATTCTTTCATCATCAAAGCTTCTGAATAGCATTTTGGTTCACCATTTTCAGTCAATAGCAAATAATTTGCTGATGGGGAGAATCTTTGAGGACGTCTAGTAACTCTGGTGGATCTTCTAACCCATGTTGTTGGATGTTCACTGTCAATAGTCTCAGTATCTGAACTCTCAATATCCTCTGTGTTTTCACCATTTCCAGATCCCCCGTTCTCCTCTGAGCTCCCACTATTTCCTGAACTCTGACCAATTTCTGAAGCACTGACAGGTTTCACAATGTCTTCTTCTGAAATCTCATCAAACTCTACTTGATCCTTTCTTTCTGGCATCTTGCTTTGGCTGGGGGCTGTTGCAAGATCATCTTTGTACAGGGCATTCTCATTGAATGTCACATTTCTGCTTCTAATAATCTTTTTGTTGTGATTATCCCAGAAGCGATAACCCATGTCATCCAAACCGTAGCCTATAAAGATGCACTTCATCGCCTTTGCCTCGAGCTTGTCTCTGTCTGCATCCTTGATCCTGACATAGGCGACACAACCAAATACTTTCAAATGAGTAAGTGATACTTCTTGACCTCGCCATTCTTCTTCAGGACCCTATGGGAACTGAGGGTCCACAATTGATTAAGTACGCTGCCGTGTTTACAGAATCTGCCCAGAACATCTGTGGTAGACCTGCGTGTAGCCTCATGCTCTTTGCTCTCTCACAAAGGGTTCTGTTCATCCTTTCAGCGACCCCATTTTGCTGGGGTGTTTCTGGAACTGTTTTCAGCATTCTGATTCCGTTCTCGGCACAATAATCAACAAAATCTTTGCTGCTGTACTCACCCCCATTATCTGATTTTAAACACTTGACTTTTAAACCAGTTTCATTTTCAACAGCAGCTTTCCACCTTTTAAAGGTGACAAATACTTCAGATTTATTCTTCAGAAAATAAACCCATACCTTTCTGGTAGTCATCAATGAAGGTGACGTAGTATCTCGATCCTCCTACTGAAGCAACCGATACGGGTCCATAGACATCTGAGTGAACAAGCTCCAACTCCAACTTCTGAGTCTTCCTTGTCATTCCCGATTTTGAAAAGGTGACCTTTTTCTGCTTACCGTAGACACATGGCTCACAGAAACCAACTGCCACATTTTTCAGGTTCGGAATCTTTCCCTTTGAAGCCATCATCTTCATTCCTTTCTCACTCATGTGCCCAAGTCTGTGAGGCCATATATCAGAATCGTTCACAACTGCATTTATTCCATCTGCCGGTACTCTCGCCAATGATAACCTAACCACACCCAATGCTTGACGGTCAAGCAAATCCCATTCGGCTTGAGGCATCTCTGTGGGCTTAATACCAGACAGCGGTTCATGTAGCTTCTTCTGGTATAGGTAGTCCTTGATTTGCATCTTCCAGAAACCGAAATCATGGCCCTCAAACTCGTCTATTCTGACCTTACCATCTTCTGCCATCACTGAACAACAGTTTCGTAGCGATGGGCGCAGGTGCAGCTTCTGGGGTGGACGGCTAGGGTTTCAGCAGTTATGGTTTCTGCTAGAGTGTAACCAAACGAGCCTGCGCTCTGATACCAGTTGTTAGGGTTAGTATCTCTAGCTCTCACACACGGATCTGAACAATAGTAGAAAGAAAAATAAAAACAAGAACGGCAAACGAATTTAACGTGGTTCAGCCAGTAAATGTTACTGACCTAATCCACGGGGGTAACTAGGGTTTTCTTTCTTATTGAGGTGATGAAAATACAGTACAGTCGTTTACAAGTACAGGAGGCAGTATATATAGGCAAACAATTAGGGTAAACTTTTAATTAAACTCTGGGCTTGACTGCCACCCCAAAAACAGGCCCAACTATGACTGGCTGCACATCTAGCTACGGCTAGCTGCACTTCTAGCTGCTGCTCACTGCTTATTTGGCTCCCAGATCTAAATGGGCCGAAGCCTACACCCCAACATGTTGCGTTCATCATATGCCGCCAAAATATTTTATCTGTTGCTTTCAACACTATTATACAGCCTAACTAACTTAATTTATGAAACAGATATCTTGTCCCCATAATGGTGCAGCACAGAAATTAGACCGTGGAGACCTAGAGAAAATGACCCTTGTTGAGGTTTGTAATCATACCTCTTTATATGTGGCCAGCAAGAAGCATCAGAATTATCTGGAGCAAATCTTCATTCTATCTCCTTTCCCTTTCTGTCCATAGGTTGGTCCAAGGTTCTGCTTGAATCCAATAAAAATATTTGGTGGAAGTTTTGGCGGCCCGGCTTTATATGAGAATCCATTTTATGTTTCTCCAAATCAAGTAAGATTTGTTATTTCATTGTGTTTCATATTTCTGCATTATTATATGTCCAATTCGATTTTGTTTTCCTAGTCGATGTAAAGCTTCTTGAGTTATTGGAGGGTCAGTGAGCCATATGTACCTCATTTTTTATTGGGGTGTTTGCGACAATTTTAGCCTGAAAAATCCCATGAGCCCCGAATTTAAGGACCAGGTAAATGAAATGATGGGTTCGAAAAAATGTAAGCCGATGATATAGGGTATGTGCCTTTCTTTTACCCACCTCTGCCCGCATTTTATATCCACTAAACTTTCCTTCCTATTTTCATTTCCTAGTATTTTATGTGTACCAAACAGACCCTCAGTGTAAAAATTGTAAAAACTAGGAGAGGTTATTTTATATATTGCACAATTAAAAAAGAATATATGAAGAGAATTTAGTATATACTTGATGTTATACTCATTTATTTATTTATTCAAATGCGTGTTTGTAGATACGATCATTAGAGAAAAAACAGAAGGCCGGGAAGTACGCGAAGAAGGTGAAAGCAAAGACTAAGAGAAAGATGCATCAGCAGTCAAATCCAATGGAGGTTGATGAATTTGCGGACATGTGGAAGGAGTGATCTTTTGCTTTGGCAGCTACCACTGGCCAGCCACCTCTACCAAGAATTATGTCATTTTTGGGAGTCCTCCAGCCCCTTAAACACCCTTTCTCTCCTTGCTAGTGATTTTGCTCTACCATCTTGATATATTGGTGTCAGTCTTTATGTAATTCTTTCTTCTTTTGACATCATATCACACATATAATGTGTTTTGAACTGAACTCTTGCGGGATTTGTATCATACTATCATGTAGTTGAGAACTTTATCATCTTGGCCAAAGCCACTTTTTGGAAATTGTCCTTTTATCTTACTTCTTGGTAGGAGTGGACTCGGGCCGGTTCGGGCCCGGTTCGGGCCTGGGCCCGGCCGGGCCTCGGTTCTAGGAAGGCAGGCCCGGAACCGGCCCGGATAACCCCGGGTCCGGTTCGGTTCGGGTCACCCGCCCGGTTCACGGGCCGGGCCGCCCGGCGGGCCGGGTCGGGCCTATTTAATTTTTTTTTAATTATTATATAATTAGAATAAATCTTATTACAATTACAATATATTATATTCGAATTGAAGTATATTTATTTCAAATAAGAAGTACAATTGAGAATTAGGATGAATTTAAAAAATGTAATACATTCAAAAAATCAATCGGACTCTCCGCCTTTGGTTGTTTCCTCCATAAAGTGGCGGGAGGGAGTGATGGTAATTTCTTGAGTTCTTCGTTGGGCCTTCAACCAATCGTGAAAGCAAACTAGTGTCTCAAGAGAGCTCGGGCTCAACCTCGTTCTATAATCGGTTAGGATGTTGCCGGCCGCACTGAATTCTTGTTCCACGGCAACGGTTGATATCGGCATTGCTAGTACTTGCTTAGCCATCTTTGATAAAATCGGGAATGTTCTTTCATTTTCCTTCCACCACTTAAGAACGTCAAAGTCATCACCAACTTCATAATCAACATTCAATGTTAGATACAAAGAAAGCTCGTTACCTGAGCTTTGTTCAGTAGCGGGAGTTGCTCTACTTTTTTTCAAAAGAGAACCAAAAGCGGATTTTAAAAGTGATTTTCCTTTAGATGAAGAAGATGTTCGTTGCATGGGAGGGGGTGCATTACCATATTGTGCATGAAATTCATTATACAATTGATGAAATAAATTACTAACCTCGTTGAATTCTTGTTTAGGGTCGATGGGATTATCATCGAACTCTTGAGTTGGAAAAAAAGAAGCATAATAGTAATCTATACAATTTGCCAAGTAAGGAAGTTTATAACGAGGATCAAGAACAAATGCAATACCATATATATGCGGAATATGTGAATAATATTTTAAAAACTTTTGTTTCATGAAATCACAAAAATAACTAACGTAAGTGGCGTCGGAAAATTCACAAAAAGCGCCGGCGAGATTAACAGCTTCAACAAAAAATTCGTTTGCGGTAGGTTTATAAACATGACTAAAAGTTAGAGTTGCGTTATTAAAATATGCCAAAACATTAACAATTTTTTCACAAGTGTCGATGTCAGCCGGGTTTATAATATAGTTACAAGTTTGTTTTAAAAAAGCTGGAAAATGATCTTTATATCTAACAAGTACTTGAATTAAATTATAAGTACTATTCCAACGAATAGACAAATCTTTAGGAAAAGCACAATAATTCACACGTCTATCCTTCAAATATTGCCGCCATTGCATTTTTAGTGGAGTGTTAGCCCAAATCAATTTAATTCCCCCCCTTCACTACCTCCAAAGCATTTCCTAATGCCGCTAAGCCATCTTGTACACACAAATTTAGAATATGACATGCACAACGTTGATGAAAAAATCTACCCATCAATGTAGAAGCACCACACAATTCACGTAATCTAGGTATAGCAGCACTATTATTACTAGCATTATCAAAACCTACAGCAAACACCTTATCAATCAAATTATACTCAATTAAAATACGTTCAATGATAATATAAATATTATCAGCAGTGTGACGATCATTGAATTCACGAAAAGCAAGAACACGTTTATGCATATTCCAATCACCATCAATATAATGTGCAGTTACACCCAAATAATATAAATGATGATAAGTATCCTCCCATATATCGCTACAAATACTAACACGTCCATCAAAGTTTGCGAAAAATATTTGTAAATTTTCTTTTTCCAAGTTATATTGCCTTATAACTTCTTTTTTAATCGTTTTGCGACTATAATTTCTAAATTGAGGATTTAAAGTACCTTGAGCATAATCTCTTAAAGCAAGACTTTCGGAAAAAATAAAGGGTAAATTTTCTTCAACAATTAAATGAGACATACCAGTCAAATGTTTTTTATCATCATAGGAAAAATTACCAAAGGGTTGAGAATTTGAAAACCTTGATATTTGTGTTTGCTTCCCCTTTCCTTTGTCTATTTTCGCATACTCCACAAAGTGGGCGGACTAAAGATGTCTTTTGAGACTCCCGTATCCGCCAGAAATTCCCAAGCTAAACTCTTTCTTGCAATGATTGCAACTTGCGTACCATTTTTCGGTTTTTTCGTCTTTCCTTTTTGTATAATTGTTTTCAATAATAGCAGATTTAGATTTCTTACCAATTTGGGTTGTAGTCGTTGAAGGGCCCTCGTCCTCTTGCTCATCATCCGGAGTCCCGTCGCCCCCCGCGTCCTCCTCCCCATTGTCATCCTCGAGCTCCTCTTCATCGATGGTTGTCGGGAATTGTTGTTCTTGTGCAAAACGTAGATCATTTTGGGACAATAGGTGTTGTAGTTCCTCTTCGGACATCATCATACCATCTCGCCGTTGGTAATCCGTTTCAAAATCATCTCGACTTTGAAAAGAAGACTCGGCCCGCGCTTTACCTTTGCCTTTGCGTGAAGTAGATCGAGTCGATGCAATCTCCCTCTTGCGGTTGCGTTGGAGATTACCCACATCTACAGAATGTCTACCACGCTCCATCTTTAAAATTTAACAAATATTAGCAATTAACTAATATGAGAAATGTAAAAATTAACTAGTTTTGTTATTTTAATGAGATGTAAAAATGTAGCAATTAACTAATATGAGAAATGTAAAATTGTAGCAATTAACTAATTAACTAATATGAGAAATGTAAAAATTAACTAGTTTTTTTTTACTTTAATGAGATATGTAGCAATTAACTAATATGAGAAATGTAAAATTGTAGCAATTAACTAATTAACTAATATGAGAAATGTAAAAATTAACTAGTTTTTTTACTTTAATGAGATATGTAGCAATTAACTAATATGAGAAATGTAAAATTGTAGCAATTAACTAATTAACTAATATGAGAAATGTAAAAATTAACTAGTTTTTTTTACTTTAATGAGATATGTAGCAATTAACTAATATGAGAAATGTAAAATTGTAGCAATTAACTAATTAACTAATATGAGAAATGTAAAAATTAACTAATTTTTTTTACTTTAATGAGATATGTAGCAATTAACTAATATGAGAAATGTAAAATTGTAGCAATTAACTAATTAACTAATATGAGAAATGTAAAAATGTAGCAATTAACTAATTAACTAATATGAGAAATGTACAAATGTAGCAATTAACTAATATGAGAAATGTAAAAATGTAGCAATTAACTAATTAACTAATATGAGAAATGTAAAAATGTAGCAATTAACTAATTAACTAATATGAGAAATGTAAAAATGTAGCAATTAACTAATATGAGAAATGTAAAAATGTAGCAATTAACTAATTAACTAATATGAGAAATGTAACAATTAAGTAGTTTAACTAATATTAATATGACAAATGAAACAATTAACTTTAACTACTTTAACTAATATTAATATGACAAATGAAACATATAAGTAATTAAATAGATAAACGAGAAGTGTATATATAAATCAAATGTATAACTATATATAGTATATATAAATATATAATGTGTAAATATATTATAAGTAATATATAATATAATGTATAACAATATATAGTATATAATATAATGCGTAAAGAATTATAATATGAATGTGTATAAGTATATATTTATAAGTAGATAATTAATATTATAATATATAAGTAGATATAATAATTATATAAATTATATATATGTAGAAAGAATTTGGAGAAGATGAAGAATGAAGATGATTGAATATGAGAGATTAAGAGAATAGAGAATTTAGATTTTAGAGAGTAGGAAGAGTTGTAGAAGAAGAGGTGTAAAAAATGTATAGAAAATAGGAGTATAAATAGGTTTTTTTTTGTATACCCCACCCCCACCCCCACCCCCACCCCACCCCCCCCTAACCCCCCAGACCCCCCCTCCTATGCTCCCAACGGCTATAGAGCCGTTTGGGAGGTCTCCCAACGGCTAGTAGAGCCTTCAAATTTTTTTTTTTTTTTTTTTTTTTTTGTGACCGTTGAGGCCCGGACCGGGCCCGGCCGGGCCGGGCCGGTTCACCAAAATAGCAGCCCGGGCCCGAACCGCTACATGACCGGGCCGGGTGGCCCGAACCGTGACCTAACCGACAAACCGGGCCGGTCCGGGCCCGCACAGTAGCGGGCCGGTCCGGTTCCGGGCCGGTTGGCCCGGCCCGAGTCCACTCCTACTTCTTGGTTCTAACCTGTATAATGCAATAACGCATTCCAGATTTCCAGTATCACGTTTGCTCTCGATACTATTCTTTTGTAAATTCGTTTAGCTGTTAATTGTCTTCATTTTAGACCCGTTACTTCTTAGCCTATTCATCTATTCATGTTGGCCATTTCTTCTTGGCATGAATATATGGAAAATTACTTTATCATATTTCACCTAAGTGAAATATAATCTTCATGTTTCACTTGCTATATGTTTTTTTATAAACTGATGGTGCCAATCCAACAAGGGTAGCCATGAACACTATTCTTGTCGAGATGTTAAGAGGACTCGGGCCGGGTGGCCCGACCCGGAACCGGCCGGGGACTGGTACTGTTCCGGCCCAGCCCGGCCCGGTGGCCCGGCCAGGGACCGGTCCGGGTAGGCCCGGCCTGGTGGTTTTACGGTGCGGGCTCGGGTCCGGCAAATGATGAACCGGCCTGGTCAAGCCCGGTTCCGGGCCTTTTTATTTTATTTTTAGTTTTTTCAATTTTTTTTTCAGGGTTGGGCTGGGTGTTTTGGGCCATTTGGGGTGGTGTGGGAGGGTGGGGGTAGGGATGGACCGGTTCAGGTTCGGGCCTGGCCGGGCCTCGGTTCATGAAGGGGAGGCCCGGAACCGGCCCGGGTAACCCCCGGGTCCGGGTCGGGCCTTGGTTCTTTTTTTTTTTTTGGCTTTTCCTAGTTAACCCCTAACCCT